TCGGGCTTAAGGCAGCATGCATCTCCCCCACTCAGTAACGTAACGAATCACTTACCTTACCTTACCTTACCTTACCTTACCTTACGACATTCCTCTGCAGGCGTCCTTTCAAACATCTTTCGTTAATTCGCCTGTCCATTCAAGCATATTTTGTCATTTCGCCTGTTTTTTTCAAAATCTCTCGCATATTCGCCTGTCCATTCAAGCATATTTTGTCATTTCGCCTGTCCATTCAAGCATATTTTGTCATTTCGCCTGTCCATTCAAGCATATTTTGTCATTTCGCCTGTCCATTCAAGCATATTTTGTCATTTTGCAGGCATAATATCGGGCGACTCACTAAAATAAGGACTAAAGAACGGGAGTGTCAACCAACCTGCCTTTTTGGCGGGTTCTTCTCATCAGAGGAAAATCGCTAGTCCCTGTCCGTGCGTGCGTGGCCTGAAGTGGCGAAAAAAAATGGCAAGAAAATACATGCTGATGAAATACAAGGAAAACCAATGTTGGCAATGCCTGTGCAAGAAGCAAATTGCTTCCGCAAATTTTTAGCGCAGAATTTCTTCAACTGCAAAATCATGAACAGCTCCTTGCATCTTCATCTCTTGATCTCAATGCATTCGGCCTGGGTCAGAGTTGCCAAACAGGGTTGCCAGACAGGAATGTCAGACAACGTTGCCAGAGAGGAATGCAGGCAGGGTTGCCAAACAGCGATGTCAGACAGGAATGCCAGACAGGGTTGCCAGACAACGTTGCCAGCCGAACTCGTGGAATCCCTCATCTGACCCTGCCACGTGTCCTCGCCATGCATTTCCTCCGCCGTCCGGTCGCATCCTGTTCACAAAGACCATTGAGAGGCCCATGAGCATTTCAATTATTATTATTTTGAAATTCACGCAAAGAGTGAGGGAATGGGGAACGAGGGCGTGGTAACTGCGTCTAACGTTCTGGTGTACAAAATTTGCTTGATGCTTAAGCCATTTCACAACTGCAACTGAAATTTTATCTCCCGCATTCATGGTACTCAAAAGGCCAAGGATAACAAAGGACATTTGAAAGCAGAAACTTTTGCCGAAAATTTTGGCACCTTTTCGTGTTTTTTTTTGTGCACGGAAAGCGTGCGCGACACTAGCGCCGCCGGCGACATTCGCTTGAACTAAAGCGCTAGTTCTGTGCATCGTCGATCGGTGTTTTCGCCCGAATAATGCGTCTAAAACATGGGGAAACTGTAAATTTTACAAATTTGCATTACCGTGAGAAACCCTGTGAAAAATTATCTGGCAACCCTGAAGGCCACGGCTCAGTCAGGATCCCGTAAGAACTACTTCAGGATCGAGTCATGGACCGAAGATCATCCAGGTCCCATTCCAGAGGCAGGCACGTGGTAAATTTGATTAATTTGAATGATATTTTTATTTTTGCAAACATGACAAATTGAACACTGATTTAATACCTAATATATTTAATATTTAATTTATTTAATAGTGGTGATGAGAGAAACGTCTCGGAGCACGTGCAGTTCCTCTGACCGCCATTACTGGAGCACGATTAACGACGCATTAATTAAGAAACACTGGTAATGAAACTAATTGACTCAGCACTAATAATGAAGCACTATTAGTGAAGCACAATGAGTGAAGCACAATCTGTGAAGCACAATTAATGAAGCCACATTAACGAGTCGCCATTAATAGAGCGAACATTGTAAATTGATATGATTTTCGTTCCCAACAGGATTAATGCAAGGGAATAATAGGTGCACAAATTACCCCCAGTTACCGCAGTTACCCATGAGTTCAAGAGAAAACAAATTTCGATCATGTTTCGTCGTGGAATTCAACAGGAAGGAAACAGACATAAAAAAACACCTCGGGGAAATCGAGCAATGGACGTATGGGAGACATGGGAGACAGGGAGACACTGGGAGGCAGACTGCGGATCTTCCAGAGTCATTCCAGCGTCCAGTCTTCAGCAGCGTGGTTGACATATGATGTTCACTTTTTTTTCACATCACGTGAATGTGAAAAAAAAGAAGAAGAGTGTCGACGGGAGAACTCGTCCTCGATTTGACGCTTCTGCGCTGGAACTTCGCTTCATGAGCCAATTTGAATCGCTCTAAATATTAAATATTATTAATATTTACAATAATGTTAAGTATTGCTAATATTTACAACTCGCTATGGTCGCGCCTTCGGCACTCCATTACCTTGGATAGTGATTCATTCATTTATTCTTTGCGAAATGGGAAACACGTATTCAAAGTACGTCCCCATTGAAATACGTGACATACGGGGTCGAAAATCTTGATTTTCATAAAAATCACTACAATTATGATTCTGTGTGCCGAACTTTAAATATTTTTGTGTCCCTTTTTGTAAGGGTGGAGAATATATTTTGCAATACTTCCCTCCAACAATCTACGCTAAGGAGACATATTTCAAAAGTAGCATTTTTCCTGTACTCAGCCATTAAACAGGTACTTCTGAGGGAAGTTTACATTTTCTGTCTCTGTTTCATTGAATAAAAAAAGCAGGAAAATGGGACTGAAAAACGTGCCCTGAATGGTTTTAACAATTTTTTTTTTTCCTTTTGAAATGTAGACTCAGGGAACTCCACGCCAACCTCTATTCCCAGATTTCGCAAGAAACTCGAAGTTGCGAAATTTTGTCGCAAGCTGATGTGTGGAGATTATCGTGCCGATATCGTCGTCGCGGCGATCACGAGACCTTCGGGGAAATNCAAAGGTCCGGATTGGAACCATTTTCGATTAAACCTTTATAGAACCATTTTCGGGGAGTCAAGCCTACACGAGCTGAAACTGCTCAACTCTTGGAGTTACCAGGATCTGAGGACTTTGACACGGCAGATGATCAATTCTACGATCTGAGACATTCATATGATCACTCCCACGAATAACTATTAAGCAAAGATCGTGAAAAAAAAAATGGTTCTAGGGATCACAAAATCTTGATTCTTGCCGAGCCCCATCCGTAATAGTTCAAGAGCTACCAAGTAATTATTATGCGTCATTATGCCAAATAGTTTTGAAGTGAACTTTAAACCATTCCAAATGGTTTCTCGATCAGCAAAAACCGCTCTGAAAGCTGAGGGTTCTAGTCCGAACCATTATTTTTTACAGTGTATGACTGATCTTGAAATATTCTCGTCATATATTAAATTCGATTGGACCTAGCCTTTAATTTCTTCGGAATGAAAAAGAACAGAATCCGTTCTCGGATCGGAAGGATCATCGCACACGAGTCAAATCAGACTCCAAGACGACCACGAAGTCCTCACCGAGGACGACGACATCGGCCGACCCGCTGCACGTCCCCTTCATGTCCCTGAAGCTGTTGTTGAGCGTGAGGGTGTACCGCCCGCTGTCCCCCCCGATTCGGTAGGATGTGAACAATTATTTAAAGACGTTACGTCCTCAAGAAATATGAACCCCAAAACTATTTTGGAAATTTCACGTTTGACATTTGAGCTCAGTGCGTCAACGGTTTCCATGTGTCTCCGTTTGAAGCAAAGAGCACTATTTGAAAATATGTTCCCCGAAAGGTGCGCCCCTATGACATGCATCATCAAAGTGGAACTTTTCCTGAACTCAGCATGCGAATAGCTACTTATGTCAGTCAGCTACTCGCGATCGTCCATATATAATAAAAGTATAACTTTCTCCTTACGCAGCTACCCATCAGGTACTTATTTGCCAAGTTTTTCTTAACTTTCATGCGCCCTCTGTTTTGCTGGATCAGGAAACTCGTGAAAATACGCCTTTTGCAAAATATGCGCCCTGAGCCGTTTTAACCGATACGTACAATTTTTTTTCCCGAAATCAGTTATGATCGTCTTATATATTAGATAATGTTAAGTATTATTAATATTTACAATAATGTGAAGTATTATTTGAAAGTTCTGACAATTTGTATCGTGCTGCTCCACGAAACATCTGGAATAATATAATAATAATGGATTGAAAATAAAAAAGCCGATAACCTTTATCTTCCTTCGATTTATTTAAATTCCCTTTACCACCGATGCAGCAAGGTCAAGGAAACGCCGAGGGAAGGGGTACTCCACCGAGAGGGAAGGGGCGCTCCACCGAGAGGGAAGGGGTGCTCCACCGAGAGGGAAGGGGTGCTCCACCGAGAGGGAAGGGGCGCTCCACCGAGTGGGAAGGTGGGGCAACCGTGGAGCAGCTTTCGTCGGCTTCCGAGATGGCTGGATCTCAGACTCGATTCGGATCTGGAGGCAAGATGGGACAAGATGGGACGAGATGGGACGAGATGGGACAAGATGGGATGAGATGGGTCTGGAGACGACTTAGCATGAACCGGGGAAAACTTGGAAAATTCGCTTTTCGCTGACAGTATCGTCTCCGTCAACAATTTTCCTTTTTTCCTCGTCTATTTCCCCGAAGGTCTCGTGATCGCCGCGACGACGATATCGGCAAGATAATCTCCACACATCAGCTTGCGACAAAATTTCGCAACTTCGAGTTTCTTGCGAAATCTGGGAATAGAGGTTGGCGTGGAATAACGCTTTCATGCGTCCGTTTTTGGCAAATTTTTTTTTTTTGCAAATATGCAACTGGCTCACCATGAATTTCGCTCGTAATGTTACCCGTCCTTGGTCTCAAAAAATTTATTTTTCAACCCCGAGCCAGGTGTGCCAAAATCTGCACTAATATTTGCAACAAAATCTTCTGTCGCAATATTTATTGTATGTTTTGTAGTTACTTCACGACTTTTTAAATATGTGCACGCGGAAACGCCCTTCTAATATCCGGCGACGGCTGAATGAATGATGGCCACAGCCGCGAATCAAGGCGGACTCATCCGCGGCGGGAAATTAAGGCGGACCCGTAATGACACCGGCTGCAGATGAACCCCGCGCTTCCGTCCCCCAATGAATTTCCCTGTCGGAAGCGCGCCATCACTCATCCCGCCTCCCTCCCCTATAAAGGCGCGAATCCTCGCCCTGGGCGGGAGTTCAGAGCGGCAAGATGAGCCGAACGGTGAATTTCGCTTTACTCGTCGTTTCCGCCCTCTGCCTCGTCCATGGCCTTCCTGGTGCGTCTCCGTTTCTCCTCCATCTTTTCTCGTCGGAGGATGTCGCACATCCTACATTTATCACACATCCAATATTTATCGCACATTGCACATATATATATATATATATTCATATTTGGCAATATTTGGCATAATCGGATGGCGCGCCAAATTTTGCTGAATTAACCTCCGTCGATCAAGCCATCCACGTTTAAATCACGCTGGAAGGCATGGCTTCCTTGCCAGCCCAAAATATCCCAAAATACCTGAAAATAGTCGAAAGTAGCCCGGAATACCTCAAAGCAATGCACGACACCAAAAACAGCCGTAAAACCTCACAAAACAGCCCAAAATGCCGGAAGCCCCACGGAACAGCTTCCGTCCCGGCAAGTCTTCCGAGCGATCGCGTTCGGCGATGAGCTCCGAATTCCCCCACCAAATTACTATCCGATTATCATATTATCCGAAATATCGGGGTAATTTGCTTGAGGTGGCTTGGGCCTCCCCTTGGTCCTCCCTTTTTTAGGGGTGGTCCGTCCCTTCCATTATGACGAGTGGCGGTGATTCGAGATTTCATTATCCAAAATGTTTTCGTGCGCATAGTCTAATAGTCGTGCGCATAGTCTAATAGTCGTGCGCATAGTCTAATAGTCGTGCGCATAGTCTAATAGTCGTGCGTATAGTCTAATGAATATTCGCACGATCTGATTATAACCAAATGTTGTTAGTCACTCTGTCAGTCAAATTTATTCTTTCCCTCTTTTCAATTTTTAATCCGAATTATATCTCAAAAGTGTGATATCAATATAATGTGTTCCTAGAAGGTATTCCCGAGTTTCATCATTAATTTTTTTTTTAAACCTGATCTGGGATGGAAACCGCGGCGATCGGTCGACGTAAGGCTTCAGTCCTTTCCAGGTCTCTCGAACTCGCATTTCGGATTTACGTTGCCGATTTCGCCCAAACGCAGTCACGGAATTCTGGAATGCGAAAATAGGGACGAGTTTCCTGCAAATTGGAAACTGCAGAAATTGCATGTCCAAATTGGAAATGCGATTTCAGGGCGAGTCCATGCACGCGGAAGGGTTCGGCCTCTTCGAAATCGGTTAGCATTGCATCCTATTAGAATTGCCTTCACTGGATCATCACGGGATGATCCGCGATGTCATCATACACTTGAATGGGATGCACTGTACCCGATATTGTATCCAACCATTGAAGTCCAGCCTTCCATTTCCGCCTCAAGCAGGCATGAAACCGCGCCCAATGGCATCCCATAGCGAGTCACGGTCATTTGGTAGCAGGATGTGAAGTGGAAATAGTTGCTTCGTTGGGTGGAAGGTGCCGCTGTCGTGTATAAGGTGGCTCGCCTTCCACCAATGGGGAATGATCCACCTTCCACCAATCGGGGATGATTCGCCGCCCTCCAATCGGGGATGATTCGCCGCCCTCCAATCGGGGACGCGCCCTGGCACCCTGCGCATTGGTCCATGTCCACGACTTTTGCAGTCGTAACGGCCACGCGCATATTTTCAAAATGTTGGATTTCCACCTGGATACGTATCCACTCATTTCACCGTTGGGTGCAAGTGACATGCACTGTCTGCCGCCCTCGCAAGAAAGATGCCGCGAAATCGTGCGAGCAAGAGAGTAAGAGGAGAGGCGTCCAACTACCCATAGAAAGCGACATGGTCGAAAATCCGCTGCCTTTCCTCGCTGCCTTTGAATTACTGGCAAAAAAATTCTCAAAACTCAAGTTCTATTTATAGACAGTCGCCTACAGATCGAAAAACGAATTTTTGCAGTTTTGCTTCGCTTTCAAATGGAAAATGGAAATTATTTTTGCCCTTGCCTGTTTGCGTCACAAGACCATGCGCGGATTATGGTCAAGGTCTTTGGCGAACTTTGATCACCCTTTTCTCCGTATTCCCTCCACATTGAGGGATTTATAGAAGTAATAATAGATTTATACAAAAAAATCTCAATTAGGATCCAATTTTTGAACTTTCGATATTTTTGCTTAGAAAACTTGTGACGGATCAGAAAGCTGAAGCTTCATGTAAATTAATTATTGAATTAAGAGCTTAATCAGAGCAAGTATTTCTCAGAATTTCGCATCTGCTTATGTTACTCATGACGGCAGAACATATCATAGGAAAAATTTAAGTTTGCAAAATGCTCATATTGAACTTCTCCTTGCCGAAAATTAAGATGAAGTCCTCGCTCGAAGCCCGAGCGATATTTTTCATCACGGCACCTGTGCCGCGAATACTGTGAAATGAAGTTGTCACATGAGACAGAGCGGGTACTCGCAGACGAAAATATGTTAATCGCGAGGCATGCGCGCGAAACGCGACGCGACGCGACGAATCGAGATCGAGAAACGTGGCATCGCTTCACTTGATGCTCTATTGGGAACATCGGTGACAAAGCATGATCATCAAGGTTGCTTCATTAGGTTGCTTCATTCATTACAGAGTCGGAAATGAACCAATTGTGCTAATAACGGGTTTCCATCCGGAGGATGGCGCCAGCGTCAGCACTAGCACCTGCGCACCTGCGCACCTGCACCTGAACCGGGATCCGAATACCGAATGAAAAAAGAAAATGAAATGAAAAAATGTATATCTGTACGGGAGAGGAAAGAGGCGAAATCGAGAGAGAGAAATTGGTCTAAGGCGAAAAAAATTAATTTTCTCCAATTCCAAGTTTGAAGATGAAATGTATTCCACCTTCAACAGGGTTAAATTTGCTTCGAAAAGTTGAAACTGGAAGAAATCCGCAGTTTTGGCTCCCTACTGGAGAAGCGGAAGTTACCTAAGCAGCTGGCATCGTTACCAAAGCATTATTCATCGTTACCTAAGCAGCTGGCATCGTTACCAAAGCAATATCCATCGTTACCTAAGCAATATTCATCGGTACCTAAGCAATATCCATCGTTACCTAAGCAATATTCATCGATACCTAAGCAATATTCATCGATACCTAAGCAATATTCATCGATACCTAAGCAATATCCATCGTTACCTAAGCAATATTCATCGGTACCTAAGCAATATCCATCGTTACCTAAGCAATATCCATTGTTACCTAAGCAATATTCATAGTTACCTAAGCAATATTCATCGGTACCTAAGCAATATCCATCGTTACCTAAGCAATATTCATCGGTACCTAAGCAATATCCATCGTTACCTAAGCAATATTCATCGATACCTAAGCAATATTCATCGTTACCTAAGCAATATTCATCGATACCTAAGCAATATTCATCGTTACCTAAGCAATATTCATCGTTACCTAAGCTGGTGACATTCGACGTGAACCAGTGTCTGTTTGCGATTGTGAGCCGCAGGGGAACAAATTCCAATTTCTCGCTCTTCCAACTGCAGGCTAGAGAGGTGCATAACTATCAATATTGGATTGTATCCCAGACACAGGAATATATGTTCATGTTCGTGTTTTGTTTATGTCTGAGAAATGATATTTGAATGTCACAATGAATTGCATCTGAAACCTTCGGATTCTGCAACGGTGAGAAGTTGGCAGCGGTAATAATATATCTCATTTTTTAGTGAGGGCGACGATATTACAGTGACAATAATCTCCTGCCTTCGGACTTTTTTTTTTTAATTCCAGAATCACAGAGGGCTGATATTCCTGATGTGTGGTTCATGCAATGCTTGTGTCCCGTTTTGGTGACGTTGAACGAACCATCAAGGTCACTCATACGGGACAGGTTGTCCGCTACCCTGAAATGCGTCCTTGCACGTGCCACGGAGCCACACGGAGCACGTGCCACGTGCCCTTACGAAAAGATCATATAATGGATCCTATCAAATTTTTTAAAAGTGAAAATCGTAAATGAATCCTATAGGAAATTAATGAGATTTTTATGTTTAAAAAATCGTATAGGATCCTGTAGGCATTTTCCGTAAGTGTATTAACCTGAACATAATCTTCAAAACGTGAAAATAAATTCCCATGTCTGTGCTGAATTTTGTTTGAATGCATCACGAGCACTTGCATCAAATTTATCACATTTCATTATCACATGTATCATATTTCGAAATGTGTTAATATTCTCTGCCTACCCTGTACATGGATTTCCCGATTGGTAAACAATCCAGGTTCATGCCTGAGAGCACCGAGAAATGGGGCGAACATCCTGTCCAAATTACGTTAATCTTATTTGATGAATCTTTTTTCATTGCCGCACACCAACAGCTGACGAAAAGGCCGATGGAGGAGAGGCCGGAGTTGGTGATATCATTGACATCATTAAAGGCGGACATGGCAAAGGAATAATGGGAATGTTTGGAAGTGCAAGAGGTGGAAGAGGTGGTGGAGCTCCAATAGGAGGTGGTGGAGCTCCAGCAGGAGGTGACGGAGCTCCAATAGAAGGTGCAACACTTCTAACTGCAAATCCTATACTTTCTCCAGAACCTGCCAAAGTTCCTCCAGGTGTTAATATATTGCATGCCGGAGTTGGTAAGGTTCCAGTAGATGAAGCACCTGAAGAAGGTGAGGACATGACGAGGAAGAGAAATTATGCGTAACATCCGGCAGAGGCTAATAATTCTTTTTTGAAGTACGGAACATGGGAGGTGGTAAAATTAAGTAAATAGACTCGTAAATCACACTTGCTACATCCCCCTTTCCGTTTAATCGAGAGTAAAAATCGTGTGAGATTCCGCCTCCGAAAACAAAGGAATCTAAACCGGAATAAGAGAAAATAGTTTGAAAGACACGAAATAAATGTTGTTAGATTAAAATTTTCGACTGTGGTGTCTTGAATTTGATTTTTTTTAAAGTGTGAGCTGTATTAAAGAAGTAATGATTTCAGAGAAGTCCCCTTGGGTCTAAGCCCGATGCTCCCTACCATTATAATATATTGCATGTATATATATAATAAATTGTTCTCAGAAACCCTTCATTTTGATGTAGAATGGTAAAAAGTAAGACATAGCTGATTCACATAATTTCAATACCACATTTCGGAGGAATATTAGGAAATTGGTTAGGAGGACCTCAAGAAAGCATTAATTCCTGAAGTTTCCTTCCTAGAAATACTAAAAAACTCCGAAACTGATTTACTCCGAAACTATGCTCTCGCCGGTTACGAACTCATCGAATTGCTCTATGCGATCAGCCAACTGTCCAAAAATGTTAAGGATGAGTAGACATTATTTCAAGTTATTGCGAAATGTGGTATCATTAGAGACACCTGTGGAGAGCACATCACATTTTCAACCCACTACAAGCGCCTTCAGAAAAAGTAATTGACCGCATATGTTGGAACAGGTGAAGACGGTGGAGGCAAGCAGGTTTGGCCCGTGAGTGTGAAGAAGCAAGAAGGAGGCGACTCCGGAAAGGGAAAAGGAGGCGGTGGAGCACCGGCTAAAGGTGAGGACATGGGGGAGGAGAAAATCTGATTGAAATATTGTGGAAATCATGATAGAAATCGAGTTCGGGTATTTTTTTTTAAGCATATAACCACTGCAGAAACACTCCGTCATGAACTCGGTGAAAAAAATACTCTACAGTTTTCTATCGTAGAAGCACAGATTCGTAAGTGCAGCAAAAAAAGTTACTGAATATTAAGTACACAATTGATACTCGACAGTTACAAGGTGTTGCAATGCTTAATAATGGCGAATTAAAGGAGCTTAAACATGGATCATTTCAGCTCTCATGAGGTTGCAGAGGTGATTAAAAAAGATCCACATGTAAACTGTGTAACGGGACAATGCATGGCTCAGAGAATTGTTCAGGAAAAAAATAAGACGATATTTCCAACACCATCTATATATCTAACAGCAAAGTTCATACTTTAAAAATTATATTTTTTACTCCAATACACGAATCAAACTTCCTCCCCTTTGAAAACGGTGGCGTTTTTTAAATCACCCTCGGCTACCCGGTCAACAAGAGCGCCCTCTATCGGGATACATCTCCCTCTAGCGAAGTGGGAAAAAAAACCTCAGACTCTTGAACCTCTGTCAAATATAAGTTTTTATTCAATTGTCCCATAAAAAGTTAAAGTTGAAATGTTCATTGAATCCTGAGACGGTCGAGCATGATATCGAATGCTCCACCTCTAAGCACCTTTAATTCACTTGTAAATGAACGGTGCGCGGCTTTAGCAGGGGTGCTGAAAAGAAGCTGGCAAGTGCTTCAACATCTTGTTACTGTCGAGCATCGATCGCGGATCCATTGCAATTTTTTTCTGCATTTATGTTTCTCCCATAGGAAGCGGTAGAGATTTTTTTTTAAAACCACCCCATATATGTCTGTATAATGGACACCCCCAAATTCTCGTGGAAAGAGATGGGGAAAGAATCCCAACTTTTTCAGGAATGTCAATGGTTGTAAAACATCAAATTACTAATACACTAGAATTATTTCGCTCTTAAATCTGGTCCTGCCTGGTCCGGAAGTATTGAGAACGGTTTTTACTCTGAAACTGTCTCGTGCCTTCGCCATTAACACATTCACTGCGCGGATCTATATGGTCAGCCGATAGCCCTTCCCAAAGATGCATAAATGCATTTTTGAAATGTTTTAAAGTTACAATAAAAACTCGAATCTGGGGAGTCATTTAAAGATTCCTCATGAGTTTCAACCCGTCTCAAATACCTTTAAAAAAATCTAAGTTATGATACATTGCGTGAACCGCAGTGAACATCTTCATCCATCACGTGACCAAACAAGTACCACCCCTTTGGTTGGATTCACAAAACAGTGCATTTAACCACCAATGTTTTAACAGGGGGATCCGGGGGAGGAATTCTTGGAATGCTCGGAGGCATACTCGGAGGAGCACTAGGTGGTCTAGGAGGTGGAGGAAAAGGTGGCAAAGGTAAGGGAAGAGACGTTGGGTGCTGTAGAAAATAGTGAGGACATCAGGTGATATGAATTAGGCAGAGGTGAAGATGTGTGGTATGATGGGAATCAGACTCGCCTGTCAAATGTTAGCATATTACATTTACGAGAAAAATCGTTGAGGAAAACCTCGAATTTAAAGAAATTCTGCATGAAGAACATTAACCATCCTGAATGCCCCTAGCAGAGTAGAGAAGAAAAAAAAAACGATTCAAATGATTTTCCTTCAGCAAAAAAGTCCCTACTCGGGGAAACAATTTAGGTGGAAACCGCCCTCCCCCCTTTTAAAATTGTTTTATGTTCATATTTTGGCTATACTTGCTATGAAGCCTCACATTTCAATTTCAAAGTTCAAACGGTACGAAATGTGCGTCATATCTTGACTTTTGCTTGAAGGACATGTTCTCAGTAGAATCAATCGTAAGTACAGGTATAACATACCATTAATTGCTTGGGTTTCCGTCCGAAGTTGAAGCTGGTCCTATCTAGACGATATGAGAAAAATATTTTTTTTTAAATATTCCTTCATGTACTCGGCATAAACATGTTCATTGTCCAAAAATATGTGGTCAGCCAACTCACCCTTCCCGAATATTTAAAAATAATTTAAAAATTATTAAGCATATTTCGTATGTTAAAGGGGATTTGGGTAAATCACTGTAAATCAATAAATATTATGAAAACAATTGCATTCCCTACATTATCCGGTGCGAAGTGCTGCCATTGTACAAATAAATATTAACGCCAAAAATAGAACACGGTTGGGTTGCTCTTATTTAACGAGCATATTTTCCACCAATCGATCGGCATACTATCGGTACATTAACCATCAACTTTGAAACAGGCGAATCCGGAGGAGACCCGAAGGAGGGAATAAATGGTGGAATAGGAGGATTCGTGGACATGTTCAAAGGCGACAAAGGCAAAGGAGGAGGGGCCCTGATGGACATGATAAAAGGTGGAATCGGAGGAATCGGAGAAATCGCGGACATGTTCCAAGGCGAAAAAGGCAAAGGAGGAGTGAGCCTGACAGACTTGATGAAAGGATTCGGCAAAGGAGGAGGGGGCCCCGGGGGTAAAAAAGAAGATGATCAATTTGAAGGTGAGGTCATGGGGGGGGGGGGGAAGAGAAGTGCGATGGAATTATGCTACGAATTATCTAATGCGTGATGATGGAAGTCGTGTTTTTTAACATACAACTAAGGTTCAACCAGAAAAACTCGGAAGTAAGGCAATTACACGAGTATACGCAGATTATGAATCTGGCTGAACCGGGCTAAATATCCGTGGAATAAATAAATAAGAATCCCAATCAGAATAAGTTTAGGTCTATATAAAAATGTATTACCTGGTAGCCAATTTTGGAAGCTCTTCCGCCTCCACCCCCTCACCCATTCATTTTTTTTGCTATTTGGGCAAGTTTTGTTATCTGATCAACGGTTGGTGATTCTTTGATATATATTCAGAGAAAAAGCTCTCATTTTAATTTCAAAAGAGGGAGCATGGATTATAAGGATTCTTTTGCGCTAAAATTTGGCCCTACATGGTCTTCAGGCAATTAGAAATCAATTTTCTCTCAAATTTGCTCATGCTCTTGGGAATACATTATTCAAAGCATGGTGCATTTAGCCCTGTCCATTGGAGGGAACATTGAGGAACCCGAGGAAGAAGGAAAGGGATCGCCAGGAGCCGATACAGATGATGAAGGAAATCAATATGAAGGTAAGGACATGCGGGAAGGAGAAGTTGTGATAGAATCATGCTATGAATCACCCAATGCGAGATGATGAAAATTGAAATTTATAACATATCATTGAGGTTAGAATTCATTTTCCTCTTAAATTGGTTCATGCTCTTGCGAGTAACATATTCAAAGCCTAGCTCCGTGTGATTAGCCGTCCTTTCAGAATATTTAAATTTTATTTTAGACATCTTTTCACGTTAATATGAAAATTCGTAGAATAAAATCTTTTCCAGGAATGCCCATTAAATTCATACCGTCTGAAATGCCATTTGAAATACCTGTGTTATATTGCACGAAGGGCAGGCAATATGTTCATCTATCTAGTGACTAGAGTAATCGGCACTCTTGCGCTAGGTTGGCAAGATGGTGCATTTAACCATATCTATTTTAACAGAGGAACCCGAGGAAGAAGAAAAGGGATCGCTAGGAGACGGAACAGAAGATGAAGAAGATCAATATGAAGGTGAGGACATGGGGGAAGGAGAAGTATGAATGAATTAAGTTATGAATAATGCAATGCGCGATAATGGAAATTGTGCATCTTAACACGCGTGTAAGGTTCGGATGCAAGGCAGTTATGCGAGTATCTTCATATTATGCAGCTGGCTGAAACTGGCTTAATATCGGTGGAATGAGCAAAAAAAATCACAATCAGAATCAGCACTGGTCTATTGAAAAAAGTACTTACTAGTAGCTAATTTTGCAAGCTCCTCCAGCTCTACCCCTCCATAATCCATTCGTTAATTTCTGTTTCGCTTTTTGGGAGATTTTTGTTATCTGAGCATAGATCTGGTAAATATTTGATATTATACTGAAAATGGCTCTCCTTTTAATTTCAAAGGATGTAGCAGGAATTATAAAGGTTCTTCTGCACGAAATCTGGTCCTGTATGGTCTTGAGGTAATTAGAACTCCTTTTCCTTTTTAATTTCCTCATGCTTTCGCGAATAACGTATACAACTCCTACCTTTTTGTGATTAGCTGACTGCCCATTCCCATACATTTTAAAGATAATTTAGACATGCTTTCACGTTATTATGAAATTTCGAATAATGAAAACCATTTAACGAATGCGCATTAATTTCAACCCGTCTCAAATGCCTCTGGAATTCGTTTGTTATATTGCACGAAGGGTAGGCAAAATGTTCATTATTCTCATGACAGGAACAATTGACGCTCTTGCTTTGGAATCGCAAGAGGATGCATTAAACTTATTATATTTTAATAGAGGATTATGAAGAAGAAGAAAAGGGATGGCAAGGAGGTGGAAAACCCGGAGGTATGAAGGGGGGTTTTGGAGGCGGAAAACCTGGAGGAATGATGGGAGGTTTTGGAGGCGGCAAACCCGGAGGAATGATGGGAGGTTTTGGAGGCGGCAAACCCGGAGGAATGATGGGAGGTTTTGGAGGCGGAAAACCCGGAGGAATGATGGGAGGTTTTGGAGGCCGAAAACCCGGAGAAATGGATGACAGCGGAATGGGAGAAGACGATGAATCTCCAGAAAGAGGTAAGGACATAAGGGAGGGGAAGAATGGGGAAGAGGCACTAGTTGGTGGACGGGCGCCTATTTGTGGACGATTTTGCGTTTTCTTCCTTACCCCCCAAAATTAACTCAGGCAATTAATTATATTCACTGTTCCATGTCATGCACACGGCAGTCGGCCACCATATGCATGTCCATTAGCGTGACTTGACTTATACATTTTTGCTTCTTTTTAAATGCATCACCCTTGCATTCTTTACATTTCCAGTGACTTTTCTTAACGGATGCGAACCCTTTGGAAAATGTGTTGTTGCCCAAGAATTGATGTGGGCCTCAAGTATAAAGTTCAGAAATGTTCCTAAAAGTTTCTGTTTCATATTTTCATATCCATGCATAGGTAAAATAGTTCTTTAAAGCGACGAAAGAGAGGTGTCCTCAAACTGAATCCTCGAATCAAAGTTTTGCCTTTTTTTAGAGGGTAGTGTCCAAGAAGAGGAATCCTTCGTTCAACTTGCTGAATGCATTATTTATGGTGAAGGCCCGTCTTTTCTAAGTACAAAAAAAGTTAATAGCTTTTAAAAAATTTTATTACACATGTTCGACACCACTGTTCGCTCTGATGATTTTCTTCAATTAAAATACATATATATTTCAATCCATCTCACTTAGGGAAACAAATTCGGAGAACTTACATGCGCAGCATACTTCTCAGCCAGTACCAAATGTAGTACCCGCAAATATAAAAAATTCCAGTCTGAAGATGCCTGCTTCTTAAGGTGTTCACAGCTTAGGCCCATAAGTCTAGCATTTTCGTGTTAGTGGGGAAGTAGGCCCAGGGCCTAACTCGGGACATTTTGTCAAGCCTCTTCCTGTGATCTCAATAATTACGTTTTTTTTTTGTCACAGCGAGCACTGTCAGGTTGCATATTTTGCTGTAAGGAGAAGGTATTTCTTTCTCATTGCTGCCACAAGGGAAGGTGCTTTTCCTGTAATTCACTCTTTACCCTGAGGCTCTGAAAGTGTTGCTCACTGGTGCTAATATGGCGGCGAGGCATTTTCAGGAATTATTCTTTTGTATTGTACCGCACATGCGCTAACATCCGTCAGTGCTAAAGCCGAACAAGTTCTTGAAAATGGCCCGTACTGTTTGAGAATCAGTAGTATTTGTACAATAAGCTAATGTTAATAGCTCCATTAACTAATCGGTGATTCAAGAGAATTGAATGTGCAGGGACAACGAAATCAACAAAGTCGTCTTGAGTCTTATGAAAACCTGCAAAACCGATGCGTTCGCAATAGCGAATGTGGCAATGACCTTGAACATCATGAACAACTGGAACAATTGACGCTCTTGCTTTGGATTCGCAAGTGGATGCATTAAACCTTTTACATTTTAATAGAGGAATCTGGAGAAGAAGAAAACGGATGGCTAGGAGGTGGAAAACCCGGAGGAATGATGAGAGGTTTTGGAGGCGGAAAATTCGGAGGAATGATGGGAGGTTTTGGAGGCGGAAAATTCGGAGGAATGATGAGAGGTTTTGGAGGCGGAAAATTCGGAGGAATGTTGGGAGGTTTTGGAGGCCGAAAACCCGGAAGAATGGATTACAGCGGAATGGGAGAAGACGATGAATCTCCAGAAAGAGGTAAGGACATAAGGGAGGGAAAGAATGGGGAAGAGGCACTAGTTGGTGGACGGGCGCCTATTTGTGGACGATTTTGCGTTTTCTTTCTTCCCTCAAAAAATTAACTCAGGCAATTAATTATATTCACTGTTCCATGTCATGCACACGGCAGTCGGCCACCATATGCATGTCCATTAGTATGACTTGACTCGGACATTTTTGCTTCGTTTTAAATGTATCACCCTTGCATTCCTTACATGTCCAGTGACTTTTCTTAACGGATGCGAACCATTTCAAAAATGTGTTGTTGCCCAAGAATTGATGTAGGCCTCGAGTATAGTGTTCAGAAATGTTACTAGAAATTTCTGTTTCATTTTTCCATCCATGCATAGGTAAAATAGTTCTTTAAAGCGACGAAAGAGAGGTGTCCTCAAACTGAATCCTCGAATCAAAGTTTTGCCTTTTTTTAGAGGGTAGTGTCCAAGAAGAGGAATCCATCGTTCAACTTGCTGAATGCATTATTCATGGTGAAGGCACGTCTTGTACAAACAAGTTCATGGCATTTAAATTTTTTATTACACATGTACGACACCATTGTTCGCTCTGATGATTTTCTTCTATTGATATACATATATATCAATCCATCTCACTTCGGGAAACAAATTCGGAGAACTTACATGCGCAGCATACTTCTCAGCCAGTACCAGATGTGGTACCCACACATAAAAATTCCAGTCTGAAGATGCCTGCTTCTTAAGGTGTTCACAGCTTAGGCCCATAAGTCTAGCATTTTCGTGCTAGTGGGGAAGTAGGCACAGGGCCTAAGAACAAGTTTTGATATCAAGTAATTTTGTTTCCATGTTTTCCAAGTTCCCTAAAAAATGCGCATGACGAAATCTTAGATGGTGATTTCCATAACGCACTTAGTGGGATGCGCAATTGGACGCGCTGTCAGAAGGTTTGGGGTCTCTAAAAGAACCCTATCCATCGAAACCAATTGTGCTATGCCCTTGGAAAGTCAATATGGGGCCATTTGCCTAAGCCGTCCGCAGAGAAAGAGTCAAGGCGGGCCAATTACATCAATAATTCTTTCGTTGAGTGATGTAGTCCTTACAAGCTTTAAAAAACCATAAATATTCGAACATGAGGCACGCACTGTCAATCCGCATTGCATATATGAAAAGACACGATAAAATGTAGTTTTGTTGGGAAATAAGTTTCTTGAAAAGAGAGGAGCAAATAGGGCGTCTACTAAGAAATTTTCAGAAATAAAAATGTATTCATTGATTCACGAAACGGAGGCCTGATATTTCAATGAGGAGGCCTAAGATCAACGGAGGAAAGGCCTCCGACGATAAAATACACGATTTCAGTCTGGATCAATGAATAAATTTTGTCAGCGATGAGATGAAGGTCTCGTGAGCTTCCTTGGGCAACGGGCATTGAGATTTCAATATATATATTACACATATATATACATAGCTGTGCTTGCCAAAAAATGGTTGGATAATGCGTGGTTTTTCTTTCTATTTAATCACAGTGACGATGAAGAAAACTGCCGCCCATAATCCATGATTAAAACTTTGCATAGCGACTATCCATGTTCATGATTGTGACTGTGAATATCCACGAACTGGGACCATGTCGTCCACAAATAGGAACAGTGCGAAAATCCATATCTAGTCATTAAATTACCTCTTGTTGGAAAGTACACAATCAATACTCAATTTTAGAGTATATATATGATATATAACCCCATTTTGAAACCCAAAACGCAATTCTAGGACATCAACGACCGATGTACAATTTCCAAGTAAAAAATTTCCTTTGCCTCTCCACGAACTGGTACCTTAAACGTTTATATAAATGTTAAATTGATGCGGTTCAACGTAAATTTCCGTGAAAGGGAGACGCCGACGAATTATGTCAGGATTTTTGAACGTCTTAAGCAAGTGAACATGAAGCACTGTGTGAAAAATGGTGTCACAGGGCCGCTCTTCTTAAAGTTGAAAGTAGGCACCCATGGGCTGCCGCAGCAATACCTTATGTTGACTGGCTTGATACGTTCAAGAACCACAATATTGTGAGAGGTGGCTGTGAAGAACTTTCAAATTTTTTTACGATTTTGTGTTACATACCACAGAAACCATGAGTTGGACATCATCTTCGAAATCTAGACTGTACCATATTGCAATTGAATTTCAAGGCCTTGAGTAATATTTTTGGGAAACCACCCTGTTTTGGGATGAAATGAAAAAAAATAGAAAGCATGTAAATTGCTTCAATGTTTCAGTGTTACACTGTATGCAAGATTTGAATTAAAAAACCAAAATGTTTCACATGAGTTTTTTTTTATCGCATAATACAGAGGCCATATCCGATAACAATGCAAGGACATTATTCTGGATTGATGTGAGGCTATTTAAGTTTCAAGCAATTTTCATGTATTGCTGTTTCTTTTCCATGAAGTTATGGGGAATTTTTGGCAGAGCATTCGAAACTGGAACCAAAAATATGGACGTAGAGGAGGTCGAAATGAAGAAACCAATGAAGAGAGTAGTGAAGAAAGCAGTGAAGAGAGTAGCGAAGAAAGTAGAGAACGAAAAGATGAAAGTAGTGAAGAGAGCAGTGAAGAAAGCAGTGAAGAGAGTAGCGAAGAAAGTAGAGAACGAAAATATGAAAGTAGTGAAGAGAGTAGTGAAAAAAGTAGTGAAGAGAGTAGCGAAGAAAGTAGAGATCGAAAAGATGAAGACAGCAGTGAAGAACGCAGTGGTCATAATAGAAGACGGTGCCATTTCAGGCATGGCGTAGTACGAGATCACGAGAGTAAGGAACGAAGAGGTTTACTGAAACAATGGCCAAAAAATCCTTGGTTCGAGATGATGCGAGAGGAACACAGCAGTGAAGAACACGATGATCATAATGGAAGACGGTGCCATTTCAGGCATGGAATAGCACGAGAAGACGATCGCAAAAAACGGCGAGGTTGTTGGAAACGAGGATGGAAACATGCTAGACACGAGGGAAAACGAGAGAAAGCCAGCAGTGAAGAACGAGGTGGTCAGAAACGAATGCATTCATTCGGAAAACGAAAGCAAAACAAACATAAACACGGGAAAAAACGACATGAACATATCAAAGGAAGACAACATTGTCGGCAGCGAAAACAAATGAAAGGTAGGCATGGGAAAAAAAGAGAAGACCAAAGCAAAGAAGAACGCGATGAAGATAGCAATGAACGAGTTGGTCGGGATGAAAGACAACGTAAAGATAGATCTAGGGTAGGACGAAGCGAAGAAAGCGGGGAGAAACACGATGATGATAGCGAGGAAGAACGAGATGAAGATAGCGAGGAAGAGGGATATGAACATAGCGAAGAAGAACGAGTTGGTCAAAAGGAAAGACGGTCATATAGTAGACGAGATGATGAGAGCGAGGAGAAATACGATGAAGATGACAGTGAAGAACGAGATGAAGATGTTGGGGAAGATCGAAATGAGGATAATAAGGAAGATGAAGATGAAGATGAAGATGAAGACGACGATGAAGAGGAAGAGGAAGATAACGGGGAAGATGAAGATGTATATGGGAAGAAATATGATAATCGGAATAGTACGGAATTTGTTCAAAAGGAACGAGAAGAGGAAGAAATGAAAAAACCAAGCGATGCAAATGACCAAAAACCATTTGTTCCCATTCCCAAGGAAGAAAATGAGACCATCTCGTCTGCTGTACCAACGCCAAACAAAGATCACGAAGAAGATGATGACGATAAATATAAAGACAGGGAAGATGAAGATGAAGATGAGGAAGATGACGATGAAAAAAGGGCAGATGATGATGACGATGAAGAGGGGGAAGATGACCACGAAGATAAGGAAGAACGAGATGAAGATAGCGGTAAAGAACATAGTAATTGGAACAGTACAAAACCAGTTGAATATGAACGAGAAGAGGAAGAAGTGAAGAAAAAACCAAGCGATGCAAACGACCAAAAACCATTTGTTCCCAATCCCAAGGAAGAAAATAAAACCATCTCGTCTGCTGTACCAACGCCAAACAAAGATCACGAAGAAGATGATTACGATAAATATAAAGACAGGGTAGATGAAGATGAAGATGAGGAGGATGACGATGAAAAAAGGGCAGATGATGAGGAGGATGACGATGAAAAAAGGGCAGATGATGATGAAGATGAAGATGGGGAAGAACGAGATGAAGATAACGGTAAAGAACAAAGTAATCGGAACAGTACAGAACCAATTGCATATGAACGAGAAGAGAAGGAAATGAAGAAAAAGCCAAGCGATTCAAATGACGAAAGACCGTTTGTTTTCATTCCCACGTACGGAAATGAAACCATTTCGCATGCTGTGCCAACGCCCAACAATGAAGAACAAGAAGAATATGGTGAAGATAAATATGTGGATAGGAAAGATAAATATTTAGATGGGGAAGATGAAGAAGAAGAAAGGAAAAATCACGATGAAGATGAAGATGAAGATGGGAATGATGACAATAAAGATAACGGGGAAGAACTTCGTAATTGGAGTAGTACTGAACCTGTTGACAGTGGACGAAATGAAAAAATGAAGGAAGGAGAGGGCGATACAAATGACCGAAGCCCGTTTGTTCTCGTTCCCAATGAAGAAAATGGTACTATCCCGTCCCCTGTACCAGAGTCAAACACTGAGGGAAATATCTGGATTAAACCGTATCCACTAGAGAGGGCGCCGCAGGAACAACCCACGCCCACGACGCCGCAGGAACAACCCACGCCCACGACGCTGCAGGAACCATCCGCGCTCACGATCGCGAATGTAACCAAGATGGACATCGATGTGGAAGACGCAACTGAGGATACAAATTTCGAAGACCCAGACTTAATAAGAGTAAGCGAATTGAAGAAGATTTACAATTCAGAAGATTTTGAGGAATGAACTGAGACGACGCCAGGGACAGACCTGTACGAGACTCGTCCCGAAAAGTTCTCATGATCCAGCATTGACTTATTTCCAATTATTTTCCATTCTCTTTTCGAGAAGCTGATGCTTTGCACCTATACCCTTTCCTATAAATTTATTCTGCATTTGCTCGTTGCCAAAAGTCATTTCTTACATGACCGACTCCCATTCGGAGGTCCAAGTATAATGCCTCCATTAGTCTTCATACACATTAGTCTTCACATTACTCTTCACATTGCTCTTCACATTAGTCTTCACATTAGTCTTCGCAACATCTAAATGGCTTTAGACTCTAGGTCGCTGACATTACTATAAATTGGTGTCTGCTTCTTTCTTATTGAAGAAATTGTCCGTGCAAAAGCACGGAAGCATTTAAAGGAGCAGAATGGGAGGCGGTCGCCAAACTCCCGTCCCCCTGCCATGTGAGAAGCCAAGACGGGGCAAAAGTTCTCGGCCTGCCCCTGCGCTTCGTTAATCGTCATTGCGGAGGGCGGGGAACTGACGCCGAGCGAAGACGAAGGGCAGCCCAAAGATGAAGCCGTTACCTTAACTCGTCCGCCTCGTATGGCGATGTTGCACGTGGGCTAGTAATGACAGCCACACGCTAGTCACATCGCAACCCGCCGCGCACGTTTCCGGACGTTAATGGCCGCATGCCACGATATGTGTGCCTCTTACCATGTCTATGGGAGAGCCACTGAAGTAAGAAAAAACTGGAGATGGCGCACCCAAAGGAACGATATAGGCATGCGTGCTGCAATTGGAAGCCATACTTGGGCTCATGACGCCTAGTCACGATTCACTCCTAGGGGATTTCCTCCGATTTTTCACCCCAACTTTATTCGAAATTCCAACTCAAAGGAAAGCAGCCCCGACACTGTAGGCATGATAGGTTCTTCGAGGAACCAGTAGGTCCCATCGAGTCGTTCCACGAGTTCTTTTGTCATGCATATGGATCCAATACTTCAGTTTACGGTAATTACAGAAAAGGGGGATTGGGAATAGGTCTTAGCAAAAATTCTGGCGATTCCCGTGCTCCGTGATTCATAGTTTTCTCCGCCAATGCGCAGCGCAGGCCCATTTAAAAGGAGCAGACACCACAGGATCTTCGGAGAAGCCCGAATGCGGAAGCATGCCCTGCCGAGACCCGCAAGCACTACTTCCATACATACCGTGGTCGCCCTTGCAGGAGGTACCCTTTACCTTGCTAGTCGGGTCGGACGGATGTGCTTGCACGCATGTCCCGAAGAAGGAGTCATAAAAGACTGCGACGAAAATTGGCGGATGCTGTGGTTGTGAGCGGAGAAGAGATACGTGGGATCGAGAGTCGAGAGTGAGCGGAGGGTATGGCTCGTATTGTATTCCTCGCTCGGTAACTGTTGGTTCGCGATAGAAGTTCAAATATGACTTCGATATTCCATTTCCGATTCTTCTTAATATTGTTCTCGTCCAATCCTGGTTGTCAGCGACCGACAGTAATTGTCGCAATAAATTCATTAAATTACTACAAGGAGTCTAATGAGTCATTCCAACCTCGAACACGTTCTGTTAGCGATAAGGAATAATTTACGATCACGTCAGAGCCGCCTGCACCCTTCGTATCCTTCAGGCAGTGATTGCCTTTGCAATGCGACAAATGAACCAAATTTCCTTTGACTTTATGCTTTAAACCGAGTGGAAAATTGGTCGACTGTCATGATTCAAGGGCGGCGTAACGTTTTCTCCGTCGTAGGCTCAGCAACCTCAGCAAAGACAGGGCTGGAACTTGAGGCTCACTCGAGAAATATGGGGGACTCGCACCCATGAAAGAAGAGGAGTTCCAGACCTACGTTTTCGGGTCTATGAAATCCCCTCCCCCCCGACTTATTACGTCTGCAGTACCATGGCTGCCTTTTATCATGGTCGCGAAAGCAAGAAGACCGGGAAGTTATGAAAATCCCATTGGAATGGAGGAGAGCATCTTTGATCCCAACTAGGATGGCCTCTAATTGCAGCAAATCAATTGCCACCTGCAGTTCTTTTCCGTGGCTCAGTTGGGAGTGCCATAGAGTCGAGAGTGCCGATCAACAAGGGGACGGGGTTCCTATTGATGAAGGGGTCGGGATCCTAATAAATAAATGGAAGGGCGGAGATCTCATACCCGCGAGGAAGTCATCCTTCCTCCAAGGATGAATGGGGACTCCAAGAAATACATGGGGACGTTTTAAACGTTCCTGCAGAAGAGTCCGTAAGATACTGCCCTTAGTAGGGCGCGGGGGGGGGGGGGATGCCTCTCTCTGCCATTGTGATGTTAGACTTGGTATGGAGAGATGCAACGTAGCGAATGGGTTCGGTGGTTGTGGTAGCACACTTAATCGGCAATCAGGAGGTGGTGGATTCGATTCTCGCAGCCTCTATCATCTTACATTCGTCCTCTTATGTCATCCGAACTCTGAATGTTCTCTTCCTCGGGCTCGTTCGCGAGGATAGATGCGACAGTCGCAACGGTCGGCAAAAAAATGGACGGTCGAGAGAGGAAGACGCACAACCAGACACAGGTAAAAGACTCCATGGGGTGAACACACGCAAAGCGCACGCGCATGTCATGTGTATGCGCGCGCATGTCATGTGTGTGCGCGCGCATGCCACGGACCACAATAGATTTTATCTGATGGATATTACATATATGATCAAGAACCTTTTCATTTCGCAGGGACAGTAAACTTTAACCTCGATTACTCCCACCAGAACATGAGCGGCATGCGTGGAGCCATCTTTACAGTCAAAATCTCATTCCAGATATGTGTTGGGCTGAGCAGCTGAGATTTCACCAAACGAGGGTGTAACTGAAGAAAGGAAGCAATTTTTCGCCTAGAAATTATTTTTTTACCGTCAAATCAGACCCTGACTAATCTTTCCACGATTCCTATATAATTGACCTGAGTGGAATTGGTATTCTTCAAAAATCTCTTGTAGGAGTTAATCGAGATTAAAAGTGAATCGGGGTACGAAAAGGTATTGTTCGAATCGAACAAAATTTATTTCATCCCTTTGTTGGTATTGGAAGAGATATTATCAGACGAGGTAAAAGGTGCGCCACGTGCACGCAATTCCGTCGAGCAAAACACGAGGGTGATTCGAAAAGTAACGGGAATTGCTGTCTGAGACGGCGTCTCTTCCTCATTCTCACCTCTCAGCATTCTCGCCGCGTTCATTTGCATATTCACAAAATAACGCAAACGCAACGCAAAATAATCGGAAACGATATTGACCCTCGAAGGACATTTCCAAAAAAAAAACAAAGAAAACAAATGGGAACAAAAACCTTAGTGAGCAGGAGAAAAGAACCGGTCCGTCTCTCAGACAAATAAAAAATAAAATGCTGAATGGTTACGTTTTAGATAAAGTCCTCTCCACGTTTAGCACCTCACGCGATAGCTGTCCCGGAAAGGAAACTTTAGGGGGACTTCGGGACCATTAAGATACTGCAAATCTTCAGCTCTGGAGAAGGTTAAGAAAGCCTGTCGTACTTTGACGGTCCCAGAGGAAGAGTTTCCCTGGCAGACAATCCTCTTCATCGGTCCTCTTTACAGTACTTTGCACGTACTTTAATAACTTGTTGCGAAAGAGCTGAAGTCTCGAATCCTTAGACTCTTGAAACACCGTGGATGTCCAAATAGGATCTCAATTAGCACTTGGGCAATTACCCTTCATTAGGAAACAATTCCAATTAGTTCAAAACACACCTTAGTTTTTATTTACAGAAACTAATCCAAGTTATGATGATTAAACCTGAAATCCTATGGTATACACTCAATCCAGTTTCATACTAAATCATACGCATCAAAGAATGGCATGGTCTTCATTTTTTGCCTTTTTAGGCTCTGCGTGCCCGATGCAGGAGCATTCCAACCAGTTCTCAGCCTGCCTTACCTTGTTTCCAGTGTTCTTAATGAGAGAGAACGGGAGAAGAGGCGAAGACCAGATATCCCTGTAGGGGAGAGGCGAAAACTCGGAAGCGAAGTTGATCATCGAGGTTTCATGCATCCCACGAAATGTCCGACATGCATCCGATTGAAACTTACGACCTACTGATCGAGCTACGGCCTGTCGTCTTCAATTCCGTGTGTACGGAGGCAAGATGGGGGTCGAATCTAGAAAATGGTTATTCGTGCTTGAACATTGAAATAGTGATTGACCCATTGTCACATGACGGTGTGCCTGGAGTCTAAATAGGGGCATTTTAGGTGAAGGAACCCAGTTTTGATAGGTAAACGTTGCTTGACTGCGTCAAATTACGAAATTCTAGTATAGTTGTAAATGACTACCACCCCTCTCTCCAAATGCCGAGAGAGAGGAATGTAGTCACACGAAAGTGTGTTTGGTGCCTAAATGAGGGTATATCGTGTCGAAGAGGTCAGTCCTTATATGTAAAATACCAAATACTGTAACAATACCCAATATGACAGCATATTTTAAAATCGTGGATGCCAGAGTCCCCTGTACGCGATTCTTTTAAAGTTTCTTGGCCTGTTCAAGCAACTTCATCTGGAATGCCATGCATCGTAGAACAGAAATATTTGGTGCACACACCGTTGGGACCACGGGGAAAAACGTTTCTGTGGTCAACGGTAATGTCCACCAGAGGGCTCCACCGATCACAACATTTGCACAGGCTGTTACATATCTGGCCTTGTGAGACTGGGCCAACCCGCCGCATTGCACGGGTTGTGGAAACACTGTTGCCGACTACTTTCAGCGAGATCGCATCATTAGCAACCTTTTTCCTCTTCTATGGCCGCCAGGAACTCCAGATCTGACTCCACTTGATTTCTGTTTGTGGGATACCTCAATTCAAATGAGTAACCGCACAACGCCTGCTACCTTAGCATGTTTGAAAGATACCATTCGACGTCTATCACCCATGTTCAACACTGGAAAGTTTCGTAGTATAACGAAGTACCTGAAGGTAAGGAATACTATTGCGAATCAAACAC